AAACGTGAATTTTGATTGTATCTGTGTTTAAAAAAAAACAATTTTAATGTTTGTTTCCTGGATATATAGGTTAGATAAGCAGTTGCAACATAAAAATGTGCAACTTCCATTTCCTTCACTGTACATTGACACAGCGTTCAGGAAATATATAATGTTTTGTGAGTATGAAAAGAGAAGTATGCGCTCCCCCCCCCATTATACTTGCCTAGGTGGATGCAACATCGGTCCCCCACTGGCTCTAAGTTGAGTTCTCACAGCCGCTCTGAGCAGAGAGCGGTGAGTATCAGTCACCGCTCTCTGCTCTGCCCTCCCCCCCACGCTCACTGGAGCGCTGGGCTGTGGAGGGGGAGGAAGCAACTGGCTCAGGCTGTCAGTGGCTGAGCCAGGTGCTACTCCAGACTCTGGGGTGGATCCTGACTTTAAGTTGGGATCTTTCCCCAGCCTGGACCAGTTGAGTGACTTCAGTCCTCTGTCAGCTGAAAATGGGTCACAGGACTAACTGCACTCCTGTGATCCACAGAAGTACAGCCAAAATGAAAAGAAAATCCCAAATTTTGGGTTGTCCGCAGAAAAGTAATAGAAGGGAAATCTTCCAATGGGGACACTAGTTCTTATGACCTGGGGGTAGCCAAGAGATTCCCTTAATTTTCAGGGATTTCGTCTCACTTCCTATTTTGGTTATGGGACAGGAAGTGAAGAGAAATCTTTCCAATGGAACATAGATGGCAAAAATAAACTGACAGGTTATAACCCTTCCTATCCAAAGTGAAAAAATGTTTTACCTATACATTAATACCTCGGTTTACGAATTTAATTCATTTTGCAGGACTTTTCGTACACCGAAAAATTTGTAAACTGAAATGCCATTTCCTATAGGAATGCATTGAAAACCAATTAATCCGTTCCAGAGATCAGAAAAAAGTAGACGCTATTAAAAATACAGCATTCAGTTATTTTATCAACTCATGTGGTATTTTAGTAGTGACAACCATGTGTTAATGTTTCAGTTGTCAGCGGGTTCCCCACTGACAGCTGAATGTAAAAGAATTGCTAGCAATTAAAAAATAATTTTAAAAAAACAGCGTGGGGTCCCCCCTCCCATCCATGCCAAGCCCTTCGGGTCTGGTATGAATTTTGAGAGGAACTCCCACGGCAAAATTTTTAAAAAACAAAATTGCGTAGAGGCCCCCCCAAAATCCATACTTTTTTCGGGTCGGCGGCGGGCGTCGTGATTGAAATTGGATCTACTGCGGGGGACATTCTTTTAATAAAGGACTTGTCAAAGACCGTGTCCTGTCTTTTTTCACACTACACTTTTTGTGCTTTTGTGAATGAGTAGAGGTACCATGTACCCCATACTTGTTCACAAAGGGGGGGGTGGGATCTGGGGGCCCCCTTGTTAAAGGGAGGTTTCCAAATTCCAATAAACCCCCTTCCCACAGATCCCCACAACCACCGGCCAGGGTGTGGGGAATGAGGCCCTTGTCCCCATCAACATGGGGACAAGGTGCTTTGGGGGGAGCCCCCCGTCCCAAAGCACCCCCCCATGTTGAGGGCATGTGGCCTGGTATGGTTCAGGAGGGGGGGCGCTTGTGCTTGCTTGCCCCCCCTTTCTGACTCGCCAGGCTGCATAATCAGATAAGGGTAGAGTATGGATTTTGGGGGGACCCCCACGCCATTTTTTTTACATTTTGGAGTGGGATTTCTCCTCAAAATCTATACCAGACCTGAAGGGCTTGGTATGGATGGGAGGGGGGGGACTGTCGCAAACATGCGCAGCACACAGTGAAGGACGCAGACTTCATTTTGTTTATAGTATCCATTTTCTCCCCTCACTCCCTCCCCCTCCCTGAGAGGAGACATTTGGCCAGCGTGTGTGTGTGTGCTGGTTGTGGGTCACTGGCAGGCCAAGGCATCTCTGAGCTAGGTGCCTAGCTGTCTCGTAAAGCTGTACCATTTCACACCTCGGAAGATATAAGGCAAGCTTTCTCTGGAGTTGAGAGATTCCAACCTCATAAAACTTAACTGAGCATAGGTGACCGAATCAGATAACCTCGGTTAAAAACCATTTTTTCCCCTATGTCTCATATCTTGGAATATGACTTACATAAAAACCGAACATATCATCAGATGGACAATGAGCAGGCGAACAGTTTGATGAGTCACTCGCCTTGTCTCAGACACACAGGAAAGCAGAAAAATAGATATCGTGAACCGTTTAGTGTACACTTTCATAATTCATATCTAATAAATCCTCAGACTTGTCTGCATAATAATCTACCCGTGGGTCGAATGTGCAGATGAAAAGTTATGGGCCAAATATGAGTTATGGGAGATTTTTGCTCTAGTTGAGGCATCCACCCATCTCTCCACGCCCTAAGCGGAGATTGGTCCTTGACTGCAGAGCCACCCCCTGCTGGGGACTACAAAATTGGGCTGTCAGGTCTGAGAGTTAAGTTGAAGACGTCTCCCATTTTAACATCAATACCACCTGGGAAGACCCCTGCCTTTTGCTCTGAAACTTGATCTGCTTACATCCAAGGCTTAATGGCAAGTACCTTAAACGTCTCTCTGTTATCTCTTTGCTGTGCTGTTATTCTCTGTATATTTATATATATATATATCTTAGTTACATCTTTTTTCTGTAAATATTTTTATTGCACCCGTTTGACCTTTTAGTAATAAATCTTTCTTTCTGAAAGTGTTGAACTGTTTCTATAGCTCTGTATTGCAACTTACGAATCCCTGCCTCTAAAGAAAACGCTACTGTTTGCTTAACCCTCTGTATAACAGGTCTGTGTTATGACCGTTTTATACAGACGATTATCTCAATCATTATAGTGTTATAGCTGATAACGCCTGTCACGGATCCACGATCGCCGCCACCAACATGCGACAATCAGTAATACGTCACGCCCACGACGTCAGACCCCAGACCTTCTCACCAAACTCGTGACCGAAGGACCGGCCGATCTAAAACCACGGTGTCACGAGCGTAACAAGGCCACACTCAGCTGAACCCAGCACAGCGATTGTCCAGCTAATCGGTGCCTGCAGCCTAAATGCGCTTGTTACTGGGTCGGGTTAATTACGCAACTAACCCTCTACTGCCACCGTCACTTTTGTCGGAGACTGGGAAACTCGTTATCAAATATACACAATAATGATTGAAATATTGATCTATATAGCACGGCCCGTGGACCTGTTATACAGAGAGATATACCAAACAGTAGCGTCTCTTCAAAGGCAGGGATTCGTGAATTAAAAGTAAGCACTTAGAAACAGTTTAACACTTTCAGAAATAAAGATTTATTACTAAAAGAGTCAAAACAGGTGCAATACAATATTTACAAAGAGATGTCACAAAAATATATATATATGTATATATAGACACAGCAAAGAGATAATTAGGAAGAAGATACAGGGTTAAGTTACTTGCCCATATGCCTGGGTTTGCAGAGTCCAGTTGCAGAGCAGGGGGATTTCTTAATCTCCTTTTGTTACGATGTTAGCTGCGAGATCTCTTACACTCTCGCTCACAGGCTTGTCTCCTGTCTCTCTTAAAAATCCCTCTCAAAGGGAGGGGGGCTCTGACTATAGTTTTGGGAGTGGTCATTTGGAACTAAATTAAACTACCAGCTTCATACCCCATGATATGAAACATGCAGTTGACCTGAGGAATGTGCAATTACTCTGATCAGTTTGATGATCTGTGGGCTTACAACAACACCGTTTTGGGTCAATGCTTCCCAGCTCTCTGAAAAGGCTGGCCTTATCAGAACGTAGGTGAGAAAGGTGACAGTTTTCCCAGATGGCTGGCGGGAAACTCAAGATGTCTTAACCTGGTTGACCCGCACCATCTGTCAGGAGATAACGTTTGCCTCTCAGGACTGGAAAGGGGGGATGTGAGGAATGAGCGAGGAATACCTCAAATAACAGAACGGAACAAGAAAAAAAAAGGTTGAAGGAGAACTCCACTCCAACTCTGATGAGCAGGTTTGCTACAACGCCGAGTTTCGTCTTTCTCTGTACAAAAAGGAAGTGGTGGCAGTGTGAAGGGTTAATTGCGTAATTAACCTGACCCAGTAACAATCGCCCAGGCTGCCGGTACATCGATTGTGGTCCGTTAGCTGGAAAATCGTTGTGCAGGGTGCAGCTGGGTGTGGCATTGTTACGCATGTCACATTGCAGTTTTAGATCGCCTAGTCCTTCAGTCACTAGTTTGGGTGAGGTCTGGGGTCTGACGTCGCGATCGTTGACAGGGACCCCACGCCCTTTTTTTTATTTATTATGGTGCCAGTTTTTAAATGTAATTACCGCTTTTTTTTTTTCTTCACTTTAGCTCAGAGAATCAGCTGTCACTTTCCCTCCAGCTAAAAGAAAGAGAAAGTTTCCTTTTAGTTTATTTCCCCAAGTTACGAGAAACAATGTTTCTGTTTAGTTTCTTAAAAGAAACAGTTTCCCTTAACTGGGAAAGTGGCAGCTACTTCTGTGAGCTTATAGTGAAGGGAAAAAAGCTGGCAATTGCATTTAAAAAAGTTTGTATTGCGAAAAAATTGTGTACACCGAGGCATGACTTTCAATGGATTTTCATTTGCAACCTGCAAATTACGTTAACTGAGGCGTTTGTAAACCGGGGTATTACTGTAGTTGTATTTTAATCCTAAAGAACTGCCCCCCCCCCCCCCCATTCCTTTTTCTTTCCACACCTCCTAGCAGTCAAACTGCACTCCCATACATGAGCCCCTGTAATGCCCCCCACCCCTCCCATTTATCCCGGTATGTATCACTATAGCGATCACAGCACTCCTCTCCCTGGACAGTGCACCTAACACTGTCACTGCACACAACTCTGCAATGCTGACACTGAACCCCAGAACACTCATGTTACCCCACCCTGCACAGATACTACACTACAACATGGGGACACAGAAACCAGAGCACTCCCGAGCATACATGTCCCTCAGGGTATGTTCCGTCCACTTCCTGTTCCTGGCTGATATCACTTCCGGGTCTCTAGTGGATGTGAAGTGGCTGCTGACCTGCGGGTATGTCGTGTTACAGCAGAGCTCTGTACTGTGGGCGCTGCAAGGGAGTGTCTCGTAGTGTTCACGTTTTAGCAGGATGATACGCTGCACTGAACGCTGACAAGTCTCCTGACCTGGCTGCTCTGTTTATGCGGCAGCTGCAATACCTTCTAATTGCAGGGAACTCCGATACCTAGTCTGCAAACATCTTCAGAGTCAGTGCCTCAAACTTGCAGGGGTCTCTAAACTGTGACCCTCCAGCTGTTGACGCACTACAAGTCCCATCATGCCTCTGGGAGTCTTGCATGTGGCTGTCAGAGTCTTGCAAGGTCTCATGGGACTTGCAGTTCCTCAACACCTGGAGAGCCATAGTTTGGAGACCCCTGCCTCAAAGGATTGAACTCCAGAGGGTTGTCCTGACAGCCAATATGAATGGGATGTTAGGAATTAGGGATTCACTCATACCGGTTTTTCTTTTTATTGGCGAGTGGGAGTACCGATACTTTCGGTCAAGTAGTTGCCAATGCAGAGTACCAATACTTTCGGTCAAGTACTCACCAATGCCAAGTACCGATACTTTAGGTCAAGTACTCGCCAAGGCCGAGTACTGATACTTTCGGTCAAGTACCGATACCTTCAGTCAAGTACTCGCCAACACCAAGTACCAATACTTATGGTCAAGTACTCACCAATGCCAAGTACCGATACTTTCGGTCAAGTACTCGCCAAGGCCGAGTACTGATACTTTCGGTCAAGTACCGATACCTTCAGTCAAGTACTCGCCAACACCAAGTACCGATACTTATGGTCAAGTACTCACCAATGCCAAGTACCGATACTTTAGGTCAAGTACTCGCCAAGGCCGAGTACTGATACTTTCGGTCAAGTACCGATACCTTCAGTCAAGTACTCGCCAACACCAAGTACCAATACTTATGGTCAAGTACTCACCAATGCCAAGTACCGATACTTTCGGTCAAGTACTCGCCAAGGCCGAGTACTGATACTTTCGGTCAAGTACCGATACCTTCAGTCAAGTACTCGCCAACACCAAGTACCAATACTTATGGTCAAGTACTCACCAATGCCAAGTACCGATACTTTCGGTCAAGTACTCACCAAGGCCGAGTACTGATACTTTCGGTCAAGTACCGATACCTTCAGTCAAGTACTCGCCAACACCAAGTACCGATACTTATGTCAAGTACTCACCAATGCCAAGTACCGATACTTTCGGTCAAGTACTCGCCAAGGCCGAGTACTGATACTCTCGGTCAAGTACCAAGGCCGAGTACCGATACCTTCGGTCAAGTACTCGCCAACGCCGAGTACCGATACTTATGGTCAAGTACTCACCAATGCAGAGTACCGATACTTTCGGTCAAGTACTTGCCAAGGCAGAGTACTGATACTTTTGATCAAGTGCTCACCAAGGCCGAATACCGATACTTTCGGTCAAGTACTTGCCAAGGCCGAGTACCGATACTTTCGTCTATACTTTGTAGTGTGATTTGCATTAATGAATGAGTACAAGGAAAAATACTCCTGCTACCTTAACTTATACTTTACGGTACATTTGTTAATGCACGCAAATTGCACCGCGAAGAATAGCATGCGATTTGAACAGGAATTCGATTCCTTTCCAAATCACATGCGGTTTCCCCACTGCTCTTGGTGAACCCATGCTTGTCATAGCCCGAGTTCACACAGGAGCGGTGCGGGAAACCTCCCTGCAGGCATCCCACGCTGAGTGTCAGTGGTAGGGGAGGACACATGGACGGTGTCATTACTGCAAGGAGAGGAAAGAAAGCGGCAGGGATTTCAGATCTCCTCTCCTACCACTGACACTCAGCACGGGATGCCTGCAGAGAGGTTTCCCGCACCGCTCCTGTGTGAACTTGGGCTATGACAAGCCTGGGTTCATGCAGGACCAGTGGGGAAACCGCATTCCTGTTCAAATCACATGCTAATCTTTGCGGTGCAATTTGCATCCATTAACAAATTGCACCGAAAAGTATCAGTTATCAGGAGTACTTTTCCGAGTACTCATGAAAACACTCGATATCGGCACCAATACCGGTATCAGTGCGTCCCTATTAGCAATAGCAGCCTCCATGTTTAGCTCACTAAGATTTATTTTAAAGCAACATTAAAACCAAAATTTTACTGTAATGCAGCTCACCAATCATTAGATGACGTGGCTGTATTAGGTTTTTTTTTCCAGGCTTTTTGTCTCTATGTTTTCACCTAGTAATCTGACCAGTAACACATCTCCTGTATTAGAGAGCCTTTAGACAGCAGCATTGTCATTCTAGGGGAGGGTAGTGTTAGATGGACTAGCAGATTTAAATACACTAACAAACTGAAGCCAAACTCCAGCTAACACTTTATAAGCAGTGACACCAAAAAGTTTTCTGTCAGTGTTAAATGTTTTATCTCAACCCTCTAAGTGCTACATCTGCAGGAGAGTGTGTTCTGTTTAAAAACAACAGACTTAATGGCTGGATGCCAAGGTGAAAATAAAGAAAAGAGAGTCTATAAAAAAAAATTAATACAGCCATCACATTTAAGAACTGGTAAGCGGCAAAAAAAAATTGCTTTTAGGTTTAATACTGCTTTAGGGGCAAACTCCACCTGTAACACTGTTACATCCATTTTTAGGGTGTAACATGGTGCCAAGCAGACCACCTCACCCCCAAAACAACCATCCTCAGCAGCTCTCAGATTTAAAATCAGGGTGGCTGTGTGGGGGACTGCTTGCACCGTCATGCCATTCATTCACAGAAATCTGTGAATGAATAAACTACCTTCTTCCACTACTGTAGATAGGACTTGTAGGCTGCACTCATAGTCCATTGTGTATGAACCTTGAACTGGAGGAAGAGTGTGCAGGAGGCGTGCATTGCACCCTTGATCTACTAATCATGGTTGCAATGCTTTGCAGGCTCATTTTCAAAAAAATAATAAATGCACATTTTTTTCTGCAAATATATGTGCATGTGTTATTTTTTTTTCAAAAGGTGGACTTTGCCTTTAAATTGAATGAATGTCTCTGTTATGATATTTATCATGAGGAAATCTATAAACAGGATATATAGAAATTTTGTGTGTATATTTGAGTCTATTGAGTCTAGCACGGGTCTCCAAACTATGGCCCGCAGGTCAGATGTGGCCCTTTCATGCCTTTACTCAGTCATTTGAGCACTATTTCTTCCTCTGACTTCAAAGGTGGGGCACTATTCCTCCCACTTGCACCATCATTAGTGTACTATTCCTCCCACTGACACCAATTATAGGGCACTATTCCTCCCAATGACACCAATTGTAGGGCATTATTCCTGCCACTGACACCAATTATGGGGCACTATTCCTCTCACTGACACCAATTATGGGGAAATGTTCCTCTCACTGACACCAATTATGGGGAACTGTTCCCACTGACACCAATTATAGAGAACTGTTCCTCCCACTGTCACCAATGATGGGACACTATTCCAACCACTGATACAAATGATGGGACACTATTCCAACCACTGATACCAATGATGGGACACTATTCCAACCACTGATACCACTGATGGGGCACTATTCCAACCACTGATACCAATGATGGGACACTATTCCAACCACTGATACCAATGATGGGACACTATTCCAACCACTGATACCAATGATGGGACACTATTCCTATTACTGATACCAATGATGGTACACTATTCCTATTACTGATACCAATGATGGTACACTATTCCTATTACTGATACCAATGATGGGACATTATTCCAACCACTGATACCAATGATGGTACACTATTCCTATTACTGATACCAATGATGGGACACTATTCCTATTACTGATACCAATGATGGGACACTATTCCAACCACTGATACCAATGATGGTACACTATTCCTATTACTGATACCAATGATGGGACACTATTCCAACCACTGATACCAATGATGGGGCACTATTCCAACCACTGACATCAATGTCTTTTTTTTTTTTTTTACTCCCAATGGCCAACAAGCCTATGGCATTTTTTACTCCCACTGGTCATAGTCCTGACCCAAAAGATTTGAAGGGCAGTAAACTTGCCCGTTGTTTCGATGGTTTGGAGACTCACAATTTAAAGGAAATCTTTACCACATGCCCGTTTACATCCGCCTCGCCATAGAGGACAATGGATGGTCTGATCAGGTCCGCCTGAAAAGCAGACAAGTGAACTCAATCGGTCCACCCATGTGAAAGGGGACTAAGAAGCCATTACAGAGTTCCCTTCATTGTTATTTCATACATTGTTAAAATACCGACTGCCTACTGGCAGTTGATAAATTACGAATGTGTGTGTGCTCTTTAGTAAATTAATTTTGATTTATCTCATATTTCTTTGCGGAATTTACCTCACATTCAACTATTTTACTTGATGCATTGACTCTTCTATTATTTCATGCGATAATTCTAAAAAAATGATTAACATGATCTTATTGCATGCAGAATCCTTTAGTGAATTGACCCCATAGTTCCAATTCCCCATAGGAAACATGTTGAGTGTGTATACATAACTCGTATAGATTACTTTTACATTCTCTTTATTGAGACATTAGGGATCTGTTAGACCACATTGTTTTCAGTCCATACAGATTTGTGATGCAAAACCCTTGATTTGCATGCTACCTGGCCGCTAACACCAGATTATTGAGCCTATGAACCAGGAAGTGATCAATGCCAATCATTTCTGGATTAATTCATTACAGGTGAAATCAGTAAATGGGAGTTCACCCATCCGCTGCCACTCTCCATCCTGAATCCCCCTGTAGCCATCCTGGGCCAACAACCAAGCTAGATGATCCTGGTAACCACAAGATGGGGGTAGGCTCCATAAAAGCCGGACAGCCATCAAAGAAAAGACAGAAGGAACACCCAGAAATAAAGCCCTATGGAGAACCTTGCAAAAAAAAATTTTTTCTATGTTTGATAGACTAGGGAAGATTTCAGAAATCTGTCAAGTTCTTATTTCGGTCTTCATTCGTGTTGGGTAGATTACTGTTTGTATCTTATTCTGTAAAATTAGCCAACAGTACAGGGAGACAGGAGAAATCTTCCCTACATAGACACTGTTACCTATACGTGTCAGAAATCCTAACACTAAAAAACTGTCACTGGGACAGGGACTAGTGGAAATCCACCTTACTAGAGGCAGAGGCAGCAATTAAATTTTAAAGCGTATCTAAACCCAAAAATAAAAATGTAATTATTTGCAAGTTACTAATCCTGATATGTGATGGCTGCTTTAGTTTTCCGTATTTTACCACTTCAGTCCCAGAGCACACTTTAAAATGTACATCTTAGGCCAGAATATTTGTTAAAACCCTCAAACATTATATATTTTCTGATAGCAGAGACCCTGGAGAATAAAATGGGGATAGTTGCCATTTTTTTGTCAGTTTATATAATAGCCCCCCCATATGTTAGCATATAGGTTGTGACAACTTCTTTCTATGGAGACATTACAAGTCTATTGGACTCCTGATGTCTTCCATGTACTTGGTTGAACCAGTGGAGCACAGATCGTGCTCCATTAGCTGCTTCCCTTGCCAGCTCTTGCAGAGAATTGCAGCTCTGAATCAAGAAGTTATGTAATGTTGCTTCCTGGTTCATTCTCTAGAGGTTCGTTCACTGAGCTCCCTCTGCCCTACTCATCGGCACCTGCCATGGCTGCCCCAGGCTCAGAGGTGCAACAGCAGAGAAACATGGTGAGATACATGGCGGAGAAGGGGGAAATGCTATGTTGCGGTGGTGGTAGAAGTGAACGAGTGGCTTAATGGCTGCCTGAAAGTTGATATTTGGCATAAAACGAGTAAATACACTCCCAGCTGCTATGGCTACAAGCCCTTTCTGTCTTAGGGTGGCTACTCTTATCTACGGAGGAGAAACAGAGCCACCCTTGGACACCACCATTGTCTGGAGAGTGTAGTATTAGATGAACTAGTTGATTTAAAGCTGGACTTCAGATAACATATTTTAAACAGTTACAGAAAAATGTTTTCTTTTTGGGATAAAGGTTTTACATAGAAAAATAATAGCTGATCATTGTAAGCACCCCTATCAATCTTAAATGGTTTGTTCCAACCCTCTAACTTTTGCTAGACAACTTGGTCTGTTAAAAGAAGTTGAAACAGACTTACTGGCTAGATCAACAAGTGAAAATAAAGGAGGAAAAGCCTAAAAAGAGAACTAATGCAGCCAACACGTTTACTGATTGGTAAACTGCAATATATTAAATTTTTGGGTTTAAATGCTTTTTAAAGTGGACCTTCATTTGAAAATTCTGCTAATTCTCAAAAAATTGGTGTATTTATATATAAAAAATAAAAAATAAAATATATAGAGGAGGAGGAGGAAATACCTTTATCTGACCACTCCCCATGCTATTCAAACAAAACCAAAAAAGTTTTACTGGTTTTCACTTGAAATGCTTTCTGAATGTGATGTTCTTCAACTTGAGTTTACAAGCCAAGTTTAATAAATCCTTATGGGTACTTAGACATATAATGCAAAAACAACTCAAAACTAGAATCAGAATATTTACTGGCACAATATTACTTGGTTTTCATTCATTTATATGTATTTGTACAGTAAGTGGAATCTGTAGACCTTATTTTTAGTGTTTTAGAAGATATTTATTAATATTTGTTCTTTATTATTCAGATGCGATCCATGGCTTCTGTCATTTTCTGTTTATCTCAGCTGTCTTGGAAACCATGGAGTCGGCAGCTCAAGTTCCTGAGTCCACTGAGTGCAAGTGTAATGGCCCAGAGAGCAGGAAAAAAGAGTTCAATCATGGATCTAATAGAATTAAATGAGAAGGACTTAGTAGAACAGTTTGTTCGAGGAGATGGTCCAGGAGGACAAGCTACTAATAAAACCAGTAACTGTGTAGTGCTAAAGCATATTCCATCAGGAATTGTTGTCAAGGTAACATTTTTACATGTAAACTTTTATTAAGGAAATATTGACTGGGTGCAGAGTAAGACACAGCTATAGGTTTGGTGCTTGCAATATCCATAATTACATAGAAACCAAGAAGGATAGTTGTAAAATATAATGATGGAGAAATTCAGTGAGCGCTAACAGATACAGCAGCTGATACACTAAAAAGGAAGACCTTAAAACTTTAAAACTGACAAAACATAACAAATAGTGCAGCGCTAAAAAAGTGATATAAACGTATGGTTGCACCAGTATGTATGGTGCAAAGTCTTTTAGATCTTAGCAAGCGCTATAGGCCACATATGACGTGTATGTCCTTCCCAATTATTTATTTATTTGTGCGTTTATATAGAATAGTGGAGGCGTGTGTGGTACGCACCTACACTGCATTTTTATTGGGAAGGACATACACGTCATATGTGGCCTATACCGCTTGCTAAGATCTAAAAGACTTTGCACCATACATACTGGTGCAACCATACGTTTATATCACTTTTTAGCGCTGCACTATTTGTTATGTTTAGTTGTAAAATATCCCCTTTGGTGAACAACACCATTATCTATTAGAAGAGCGGTGGGCATTCTGAATTTAAAAGATTTATTTTGGTCCCATAATCTTCCACAGGGTAATGAATTAAAATTATTATTAATCAGAAAAAGTAATGGCACTTGTGTCCACCACAGTGTACAACCATATACTTATGCCTACTAGACAGGATGAGAAAATCGGACCAAAAATACTGCTTTCGGAGCGATCGTCTGATAATCTGATTGTTAGTACACAGCTTTCGAGAGCCAGTCGTGAAAGTTCTTACAAAACTATCCGAAGGGACAAGCATGAAAATATTTCTTGTAAGATAACAGATCGAATGATTCTCGTTTAATCAGTATAGCATTTGTCTATAAAAAATCGAGTGACCAAGACCGCGTATGCTCGGAAACGAAAGAATACAATACATTACATAATTTCTGAAGTTGTATTCTGTCTTACGAGAATTTTCGTAACTTTAGTAAGCAATTAATTTTTAATATGAGAATAGCATGCAAAAAAAAACGTACGATCATTCATCCGATATTCTCATCATTTGTATAAGGCTTTACACTAGCATTGCTTGTTGGCAGAACAAGGCAGAAGCAGTTGTAGTGAACACTGAATTGCAGGTTGGCATCTCATTTTCCAATCCACCTTCGCTAAGGGGAAAAAAAAAGGAAAGATAAACATATTGATCTTTAGGCTACAGAAGCAAGCCAGGAGGCTTGCTAGTTGGGTATCCGTGTATAAAGGGATCCTCAGTTGCAGTAAATGAGTGCTTCACACCCAGGGGCGGACTGACAACTCATGGGGCCCCCAGGCAATAGGGGATTATGGGGCCCCTGTGTCCTTGCCCAAACTCAAAAAAGCCTATGAAAAAGGTACCAGGGGCATCTTATGGAGCCCCGTACTGAGCCCGGGCCCTCGGGCAGTGCCCGAGTTTCCAAATGGTCAGTCCGCCCCTGTTCACACCCTAAGTGCTGCAAAATTGTCATTTATATTTTATATATTCAGGAAGGTTTAGTGAAGTTAGCATTTTGAATACATTTCACGTCTACATGTACTTTGAGTGAGATATTCACATTTTCTACTTTGCTATGTAGTTAAAGCATTTCTAAAGGCATTATCAGCCATAGAATAGTTATTAGCATAATACAATTTTCAATTAATAATAACTTCTAGTAATGTAATAGTCAGTCTTATCACTCTGATCTGTTTACCTGTATGTGTCTAGGTTCACACTCACACAATGAGTGTCAGCAAAGATGTGGTTTTTTGTGTTACAGAATACTCTAATACAGAATACACTTATTGGAAAAAAAATAAATATACATAATTCAAAGGCCAAGCAAAAGGTTTTAAAATGTGTAACAGAGCATTTAGGATCTCAAAAAAAAAAAAAAAGCCAAAAGCTGTACCAGATGAAAAGCAACTGTGCTCTACTATTCATGCCCGCAAATATTTTTTTACCTCTAAGAGCTCTGAGGAGCTCATATGCAGCCCGCTGATCAGCCTTCTACCGGTCTTTCTTTCACAATGCGCGGCCTCTCTACACAGACACACAGCTTACAGACCCTTGCAGAAGAGCAGTACTATGAGTTCCCAGACTGCACCAGTGCAACGGTCGTAGTAAGCTGTGCGGGCTCCCGACACGCGCTTAGCAACTGATGATGTCATCGGTTGGCAGGATGCGGGGCGGGCAGCCCAGACAGCAAACAGTACCTAAATGCTGGCTTGAAAAAGCAAAAGACCCGCAGCGCTGGGAAAAAAAAAGGCTGAGACTGCTGGGGAAAATATTTCATCTGCAAATGCCTGCCTTGGCTGGGGCAGTTTTTTTATACTTTTGCTGTGGCACCCCTGAGGACTCTTGGTAGCACCCCAATTGAGAAATGCTGGTGTAGGCATTTGGAGCCACGTACAGCTGCATGCAAGCAGCCGATGTTACTGAATGGGGATGCAGTGGCTGTATAGACACAGCTACACATTCTACTTTGACAGGCGTGCAGGGATGAATGTATGTCCCTAAACGACAATGTTTGTTTGGGGATGCACACCTGTCAAAATTGGCATAAAAAGTATCTCCCAGAAGTGAGTACACCCCTCACATTTTTTAAATATTTTATTATAACTTTTCATGTGACAACACTGAATACATTACACTTTGCTACAATGTAAAGTAGTGAGCGTACAGCTGGTATAACAGTGTAAATTTGCTGTCCCCTCAAAATAACTCAACACACAGCCATTAATGTCTAAACCGCTGGCAACAAAAGTGAGTACACCCCTAAGTGAAAATGTCCAAATTGGGCCCAATTTGACATTTTCCCTCCCCGGTGTCATGTGACTCTTAAGTGTTACAAGGTCTGAGGTGTGAATGGGGAGAAGGTGTGTTAAATTTGGTGTTATCGCTCTCACTTTCTCATACTGGTCACCAGAAGTTCAAAATGACACCTCATGGCAAAGAACTCTCTAAGGATCTGAAAAAAATAATTGTTGCTCTACATAAAGATGGCCTAGGCTATAAGAAGATTGCCAAGACCCTGAAACTGAGCTGCAGCACGGCGGCCAAGACCATACAGCGGTTTAACAGGACAGGTTCCACTCAGAACAGGCCTCGTCATGGTGGACTGGGGAAGTTGAGTTCACGTGCTCAGTGTCATATCCAGAGGTTGTCCTTGGGAAATAGACGTATGAGTGATGCCAGCATTGCTGCAGAGGTTGAAGGGGTGGGGGAGTCAGCCTGTCAGTGCTCAGACCATACACAGCACACTGCATCAAATTGGTCTGCATGGCTGTCGTCCCAGAAGGAAGCCTCTTCTAAAGATGATGCACAAGAAAGCCCACAAACAGTTTTCTGAAGACAAGCAGACTAAGGACATGGATTACTGGAATCATGTCCTGTGGTCTGATGAGACCAAGATAAACTTATTTGGTTCAGATGGTGTCAAGTGTGTGTGGCGGCAACCAGGTGAGGAGTACAAAGACAAGTGTGCCTACAGTCAAGCATGGTGGTGGGAGTGTCATAGTCTGGGGCTGCATGAGTGCTGCCAGCACTGGGGGGCTACAGTTCATTGAGGGAACCATGAATGCCAACATGTACTGTGATATACTGAAGAAGAGCATGATCCCCTCCCTTCGGAGACTGGGCCGCAGGGCAGTATTCCAACATGATAACAACCCCAAACACACCTCCTCAAGATGACCACTGCCTTGCTAAAGAAGATGAGGGTAAAGGTGGTAGACTGGCCAAGCATGTCTCCAGACCTAAACCCTATTGCGTTGACTCCCTTTGAAAAAGTGTCTGAACATGAAACACGTTAGAAAGGTGCCCTAATTACTTTGTACACACCGCATGGCCTTTGTGGATGGCTGGCAGCCATCTTGATTTTTTATGTAAGTGTGATTCATCTTATATACTCTATTTTTGACTAATAAAGAATACTACACCATTGGAGGCTTTTTTCTTGGGCTCGTTCTTTCTTGTGAGCCCCCCTCTTTGAAGGTGATTCCTGTTGACCTGACACATGGTATTGTACATGATCCCCCTGGTGGCTGTTATTGGCATCTCTGGAGGCTGGTTACCTTATCCGGATGTATGACACCTGGTGGTTGCTGCCCTGATGACTTCAACCGTCTGCAGTGTTCCAGATCCAGAGAACCAGGAGTAGGTCTTATATACTCCATGCGCAAGCGATTGTGCTATCTGGTTAGTGCAATCTATATCCATTTCCATTATCACAGGAGTCACAGATATTTTTCATCACAAGTTTATTGACTTTATCACACTTTTCACTTTATACATCCCATCTCATTGGGATGCAGTACCTTATATGTAATTCAAGACTTTGGTTTATGTGATTGCTAGTTTAGGTTTTATCAGCGCTGCATATTTTATACATACACCATTTTGATTTGTAGGTCCTTCAGGTTTACCTTCATATGCCATCAGCTACTTTTACTTTATTACTCACCCATCGCTTGTTTACTTCTGTTTTATATTCCTATTGAGCATCTGTGGGGCATCCTCAAACGGAAGGTGGAGGAGCGCAAATTCTCTAACATCCACCAGCTCCGTGATGTCGTCATGGAGGAGTTGAAGAGGACTCCAGTGGCAATCTGTGACGCTGAAGTGAACTCCATGCCCAAGAGGGTTAAGGCAGTGCTGGAAAATAATGGTGGCCACAAAAAAATATTGACACTTTGGGCCCAATTTGGACATTTTCACTTAGGGGTGTACTCACTTTTGTTGCCAGCGGTTTAGACATTAATGGCTGTGTGTTGAGTTATTTTGAGGGGACAGCAAATTTACACTGTTATACAAGCTGTACACTCACTACGTCACATTGTAGCAAAGTGTCATTTCTTCAGTGTTGTCACATGAAAAGATAGAATAAAATATTTACAAAAATGTGAGGGGTGGACTCACTTCTGTGAGATACGGTAAGTTGATGTATCTTCCCTGCCTAGATAAGAGTTGTGGTAATCAAGAGTTGTGAAGGTAAAGTCAGTACTTACAGTATAGAAATCCATGTAAATACAATGTCAGCCAATCAATAGTAAAAAAGAATTAATTCTAGCCAATGGGAAAAAAAGATGAAGTAAAAAGAGAACATTAGAAAATGTGCATTTGTACACAGCTGTTATCTAGAAATTGCTAGAGAGCAGTGACATGAGAAAGGGAGCAATAGGGAGCTTACAGCAGCCTCTATGGAGAGGTACTGTTAGATGGGATACATGGTATACTTTAACTCTTTCATTGCATGAGCAATGAGCTTAATAATAATAGGCAAACTAGGGTTGTACTGCAGCCTGAAGGCAAAAAGCACACTAGGCACAAAAGTGAAAGCCAGCCCCCAGATACGCTTAGTGTCCTCAGGTGAACATTTAAAAATGTTACATTTTAAATATGGGTGTAACATGCAACATAGTTTGAAAGGTGGCGTTTGTTTTTAAATGGGGGAAGGTTATTTTGATGATTTTAATTCTTCGCTGAGGCATCTTAGCATCCATAGACATAAAGACAATATACTACTTGCAGTACAATACTGTCCATATATTACTTAAGGCGGTAGTAAACCGCACAAAATAAAAAAGTGGGCCCCTGCAGGATAATGTCATAATGTGCTAGTATGCATCTCGGGAGTCGGCTGCAGCACAGTTCTCTCAATGTGCGGTATGCCATCCATTTAGAGCGCAGTTTGCATGCTGCAGTGACGTCACCGGTTGCTACTACTATTATTATTATACAGGGTTTATATACAACATAAGGGCAGGCAGTACAATTACAATACAAATTAATACAGGAGGATTTGGAGGGCCCTGGTCGTTAGAGCTTACAATCTAAGAGGGAGGGTTGAGAGATACAAATGGTAATAACTGTGGGGGGTGGCCTGATGGACAAAATACATGTACAGTTGTTAGGTGGGGGCAGGATAGGCCTCTCTGAAGAGATGTGTTTTCAGGGATTGTCTAAAAGTGAACAGAGATGGAGATAGTCGGACACGTTGGGGAAGGGAGCGGCTCTGGAGAAATCCTGGAGGCAAGCATGGGAGGAGGTGGCAAGGGAGCTAGAGAGCAGGAGGTCTTGGAAGGAACGAAGAGAATGATTTTGTTGATATTTTTTTCAGACCAAGTTAGTGATGTAACTAGGGGCTGAGTTGTGGATGGCCTTATAAGTTGTTGTATCTTGAATTAATTTAAATATCTTACTAAAGTAAATATCTTCTAAATGTTTAGGAGATATCTTACCTGTAGGTATAAATAATAAAACTGCAGCTTTAAGAGGGTGTAGGAACACAGTCTGTTTTATCACTGCTCGTTATCTTTAACCTAAACTTTTTTTCTCACCTCTGGAAGTTTACCATTCACATTTGTACTTTCTGCTCCATGCATGCTAGCTTAAAAAAAAGCAGCTTTTGAGCGCTTTTTTTTTTTTTTTTCTGCCTCTAGAAGCAAATAGTGTTATCCTGTGTGTCCATGCACATTATTTTAGTCCAGAAGCATTTTTGAAGCTTTAGCTTCTGGAGCAGAAAAAACCCTTTTTGGGAGCGATTTGCCTTCAGAGAAAAACGCTGAACATGCTTAAACTCTGTTAAGCGCTGCTAAGACACGGTTACCAGAATTTTGTATTCTCTTAGTGGGCTACTACCGATGTCCTTAACAACCAGTAAATAGGCGGCAGAGCTGTTAAACAGCGGGCACCAGCGTCAGGTGCAGAGCTCTTTTTTTTCTTTTCAGGTCGGCGGTGGTGGCCTTCATTGTGATTGACGATGGATTTACTTCAGAGGACATTGTTTTGTTTTTTTGTTTTTTTTTAATAAAGGACTTTATTTTTTACACTTTTTTTGGTGAATGAGTAGGGGTACAATGTAACTCATACGCATTCACATTGGGGAAGGGATCTGGATCTGGGGCCCCCTTTTAAGGAGAGCTTCCAGATTGTGATAAACCCCTCGCCTGCAGACCCCCACAACCACCTTGTCCTCATCAGCATAGGGACAAAGCACCCCTTCCCATATGTTGAGGGCATGTGGCCTGGTATGGTTTAGGAGGAGGGGGGGGCACCCTCTCATCGTATGCTCGGATAAGGGACTGGATTTTGAGGGGGACCCCACATTTTTTTTTCTTCAATTTTGGTGTGGGGTTCCCCTAAAAAAATCTATCCCACACCCACGGCCTGATATGGATTGGGGGGGTACCCCCACGCTGTTTTTTTTCCCCTCAAATTTTAATTGCCAACTATTCTTTTGTTTATATTCAGCTGACAGCTGATGAGTCATCGGTTGTTAAGGTTGCGGACAGCTGGCTTGCCGGCCTGCTCCATAACAACCAGCTAAACACTGGCAAAACACTGAAACAAAAACAGAAAAAATGCTAATGTTGAGCGTTTTTCTTATCCAGAGATTTTCTGGTATTTATTTTCAGCTTCTAATGCGCAAGGAGCCTTCAGGTTATTCACTGGACTTGAACTGTTCAAATTTTAATAAAAACTGGAAAAATGGGGGTGTTCTAAAGCTTTTGACAGAGTGTGTGTGTTTGTTCTAGTTTAGCCTACCAGTGGTGCTAATATTAAAGAAGAGTTCCACCCAAAAGGGGAAGTTCCGCTGTAAAGACTGGTCCCCCGCTCCCCCCCATTAAGCATTGGCACCTTTGGGGAGCGGGTACCCGAAATTGACAGGCGCCTAGGCGATCAGAAGTGGAAGTTGTCCTCCTACCCTCCCTCCCCAAAGTCTTCTGGGACAAGTGATAGGTCCCAGAAGACTACAGGACCATTCAGGAAGTGCAGCACTACTCGCACATGCACAGTGGACACCCGGCTGTGAAGCCGCAAGCTGTCACAGCTGGGTGCCCACACTGAAGATGCCGGTGCCTGGAACACCAACCTGACGGTGAAACGGGCTGTGGGGAGGACACCGTGGGATTGTGGGACAGGTAATTGGCTGTTTTTAAAAAATTAAAGTTTTTGTAGCTGCTGACTTATTTTTTTACCGTGTAAGTGGAACTCCGCTTTACTATGTCTTCTGGGTACAGGTATAAAATTGTATTTTACTGACTAATTGACATAGAATATTAACTGTTCTGAACTAAAAGAAAACTATTTTTTTAGTGCCATCAAACCAGGTCTTTGGAGACAAATCGGATAAAAGCAAGAGATATCCTTAGGGAAAAAGTGGATGTTTTCTATAAAGGAGGAGACAGTGATGTTATCAAGGAAAAAGAAGAAGCAAGCAAAAAAAAAACAAGAAAAAAAGAAAAAAGCCAGGGAAACTCTAGAAAAGAAAAGGCTTCTCAAGGAGATGAAAAGCTTAGAAAGTAAGGAAGAATAAAGATGATGTAAGTGAAGTGTATGCTGATTGACTTTTTCTTTGATAAAAGACCAGTGGATAAAAACAGATGAACATGTTATTCAATACCATACTGACTATGTGAATGATCCCTAAGGTGTGGAACCAAGTAACAAATCTTCATCAAAATGTTTCTATACCAAACAATGGAAAATACTGTGCTCTTCCATCAGTGATTTTCAATCATGTCTGTACGTTGTTGGAAATCTGCTGATAAGCTGTGTTCAGGTCTGAGCCACTCAGCTGACCACACATTCAAAATGTCATACATTTTAAACCGTTTGTGAATATTTTATTTTTATTTGATTGAATTTACAACATCTTTTTCTGTCTCAAATAAAATATAAATATGTTTTATTACATGCATGTGCAGCTAAATAATACCAATATAAATGGACCATATTAAGAGACATTTTTTATAAGAGGATGGACTATAACCTCTGGTTGGTTGTTAGTGCTGAATGTGTACTCAGTTGGGATATTTCTCCTCACTTTCTTCCCTGGAGATAAAACAGAAATCAAATAAAAAAAATATCTAAAAAGAGGAAATCTGACCTGTTTACTGGAAAAGGTACCTGTGTTGGGAGGACAGGAGGTAATGGTAAATCTCTTCAACGTAGACATAGATGTTAGAGACTTCAGTAAACACCTAAAGCTGATCATATAATCTACAATCTGACTGTACAATATATTTACCAGAACTGTAATGTGAAGGCAAACAAACAACCCATTATATTTTTTGTTCAGTCATGCAGTCCCTTTCACTAAATAATTATTTATAGATCTAAAGCAGACTGAATAGTGTGTGGTCAAGTTAACAATAGTTCTCACCCCTCCCTGCTCTATCCAAAAATAAAACACTTTTGGCTGGTATTCTACTTTAAAGGTACAATATATTCAGAATGGAATACGCATAAAGTAGGCAAATACTACCTACTCAGTGCTTCAGTTTTTAATTCTTCTTTGCTATATTGTACAAGTCCACTCCACTTCCTTATGTCAGAAATCCAGAAAACCTACTCTACAGTCAGGTCCCATGAATATTGGGACATCAACACAATTCTAACATTTTTGGCTCTATACACACCACCACACTATGCCTCCCACTTGTTAAGGGACCAAACGTAATGGGACAATTGACTTCTCAGCTGTTCCATGGCCAGGTGTGTGTTATTCCCTCATTGTCCCAATTTACAATGACCAGATAAAAGGTCCAGAGTTCATTTCAAGTGTGCTATTTGCATTTGGAATCTGTTGCTGTCAACTCTCAAGATGAAATCCAAAGAGCTGTCACTATCAGTGAAGCAAGCCATCATTAGGCTGAAAAAACAAAACAGGCTCTGAGGAAGAGGCAAGTCCTCGAAACGCGTCAGTCTTTTGGATGTCTAAACTCCCTATTGTGGACTGTTACTCAGCGCGGTGTTGATCCAGCTGTTCTTCTATGATGTGCCTTGACTATATTGTCGTTTGTGAGTACAACACCTACTTTATTTTTTATTAAACATTTTTTTATGGTAATGCACTAGGCCTGTGCGCCCTCTTTTTGTTCTTTCCCCATTCTGTACAATATATTTACCAGAACTGTAATGTGAAGGCAAACAAACAACCCATTATATTTTTTGTTCAGTCATGCAGTCCCTTTCACTAAATAATTATTTATAGATCTAAAGCAGACTGAATAGTGTGTGGTCAAGTTAACAATAGTTCTCACCCCTCCCTGCTCTATCCAAAAATAAAACACTTTTGGCTGGTATTCTACTTTAAAGGTACAATATATTCAGAATGGAATACGCATAAAGTAGGCAAATACTACCTACTCAGTGCTTCAGTTTTTAATTCTTCTTTGCTATATTGTACAAGTCCACTCCACTTCCTTATGTCAGAAATCCAGAAAACCCCCGTTTGTGATGCAAGTGACCTACTCTAAAACATACAGTCAGGTCCATGAATATTGGGACATCAACACAATTCTAACATTTTTGGCTCTATACACCACCACACTATGCCTCCCACTTGTTAAGGGACCAAACGTAATGGGACAATTGACTTCTCAGCTGTTCCATGGCCAGGTGTGTGTTATTTCCTCATTGTCCCAATTACAATGACCAGATAAAAGGTCCAGAGTTCATTTCAAGTGTGCTATTTGCATTTGGAATCTGTTGCTGTCAACTCTCAAGATGAAATCCAAAGAGCTGTCACTATCAGTGAAGCAAGCCATCATTAGGCTGAAAAAACAAAACAAACCCATCAGAGAGATAACAAAAACATTAGGCGTGGCCAAAACAACTGTTTGGAACAGTCTTAAAAAGAATGAAAGCACCGGTTAGCTCATCAACACCAAAAGACGCGGAAGACCACGGAAAACAACTGTGGTGGATGACCGAAGAATTCTTTCCCTGGTGAAGAAAACACCCTTCACAACAGTTGGCCAGATCAAGAACACTCTCCAGGAGGTAGGTGTATGTGTGTCAAAGTCAACAATCAAGAAGACTTCACCAGAGTGAATACAGAGGGTTCATCACAAGATGTAAACCATTGGTGAGCCTCAAAAACAGGAAAGCCAGATTAGAGTTTGCCAAACGACATCTAAAAAAGCCTTCACAGTTCTGGAACAACATCCTTTTTACAGATGAAACCAAGATCAACTTGTACCAGAGTGATGGGAAGAGAAGAGTATGGAGAAGGAAAGGAACTGCTCATGATCCTAAGCATACCACCTCATCAGTGAAGCATAGTGGTGGTAGTGTCATGGCGTGGGCATGTATGGCTGCCAATGGAACTGGTTCTCTTGTATTTATTGATGATGTGACTGGTGACAAAAGCAGCAGGATGAATTCTGAAGTGTTTTCGGGCAATATTATCTGCTCATATTCAGCCAAATGCTTCAGAACTCATTGGACGCCACTTCACAGTGCAGATGGACAATGACCCAAAGCATACTGCAAAAGCAACCAAAGAGTTTTTTAAGGGAAAGAAGTGGAATGTTATGCAATGGCAAAGTCAATCACCTGACCTGAATCTGATTGAGCATGCATTTCACTTGCTGAAGACAAAACTGAAGGGAAAATGCCCCAAGAACAAGCAGGAACTGAAGACAGTTGCAGTAGAGGCCTGGCAGAGCATCACCAGGGATGAAACCCAGCGTCTGGTGATGTCTATGCATTCCAGACTTCAGGCTGTAATTGACTGCAAAGGATTTGCAACCAAGTATTAAAAAGTGAAAGTTTGATTTATGATTATTATTCTGTCCCATTACTTTTGGTCCCTTAACAAGTGGGAGGCACATATGCAAACTGTTGTAATTCCTACACCGTTCACCTGATTTGGATGTAAATACCCTCAAATTGAAGCTGACAGTCTGCAGTTAAAGCACATCTTGTTCGTTTCATTTCAAATCCATTGTGGTGGTGTATAGAACCAAAAATGTTAGAATTGTGTCGATGTCTCAATATTTTATGGACCTGACTGTCTCTGCTACTGCCTCCATGCTGCATTTTACAGAAGCAAGAACTAAATTAAACCCAGTACTAACAAGTAAAGTATAGCCATCTATCAGATCTAGTCTTGCACCTAAACTGCTGCGTCAATGCAAAGCGATACATGTTCCTAGCACTTTTCAGGGAGTTTTACAGGTGGCGAGGAGGCAATATGAGGCCTGTTCACATGTTTAACCCTCTAATCTTGCATTTCCCCATTTACTTGAATAGGTTACGTGTTAGGAGTGATATGTTTTGCCGCAGATGTGAAGCAAAGCATCACGACTTTGAAATGTAAACACCCCGTCCCACTTCCACTGTCTTTGAAGCTGGGGGGGGTTGGGGTTCTAAAAATAAATCATACATCTCAACCATGCATTTTTAGCATCTGACAGAAATTAGCATTTAACCCTTGCAGTGTAGAGGGGAAGTTTTAATTTCCCCAGAGTACAGCTTTAAAGCATATTTTGTAGGTGCAAGGACTTTGAATAGGTATGCTGTGTATATAGCGAGTAGATTTAGGTTAGCATCATGTGACCACGCCCACCCACCCTACATGCTATTGTGTCACTCAGTGGGTGATAGCATAACTTATTTTGGCTGAAGAAAATCCTACTCCAGGAATCTAGAATAGCTTTTATTAAAGTCCTCTGTGTCTTCTGCTGAAGGCAGAATCAACTAGTCTGAAATTGGATTCCCCCACCTTGTAAACACCTGTGCATTTCATTCATTCTTGTTAAGTTGGAATCCCAGAGTAGCAGTTTCTGTGACTAAGGAAAGTATTTCCGGATTTCAGCTTGGGTACGGTAGCGGAGCATGTTTTAGGTTCCAGTCTGCTTTAATATAACAGCTTATTTAAATAAGACCTGTCCAACAAATCAGATTTGTACTTTTGTAAGGCAAACTAAAACTGATGTGCTATTCTAGCCAACTTCAGTGCCTGTAAATCAGTTCCAGTATGATCGTATATGCATGCTGATACCAGCAGTCTTTGGAGTCTAATCCTGTCCCCCACATTTCTCCACTTTCCCTGCTTTTATTTTTTAAATATGATAAATATGTAAAGTTGGATTGCTCAAGCTAGAATTTTACATAGAGGAGTGCTCAACTTTAGTCCTTTCCCTCCCTGCATGCCTACACTATATTGCCAAAAGTGTTGGGACATCCCTTTAAATGATTGGCTTCAGCTGTTCCAATCACCTCCGTGGCCACAGATGTATAACATCAAGCACCTAGGCATGCAGACTGCTTCTACAAACATTTGCGAAAGAATGGGTCGCTTTCAGGAGCTCAGTGAATTCAAGCAACAAGTCCATCATTGAAATGTCCTTGCTACTAAATATTCCACGGTCAACAGTTAGTGGTATTATAACAAAGTGGAAGCAACTGGGAACAACAGCAACTCAGCCACCAACTGGTAGGCAATGTAAAATGACAGAGCGGGGTCAGCGCATGCTGCAGCGCACAGTGTGCAGAAGTTGCCAACTGTCTGCAGAGTTGATAGCT